AGATCGAATCTATTCAACCGAAGACACCGTTTGCTAAGGAAATTACGACTGCTTATATATCTATTTCGAGTTCTGCGGTTCTACACTCTAAAACTAATAAATACATGAGGATTAAATTAAAAGAAACAAATCTGTCCGCATCGGGTGAAATCTGTTTCGTTTTCATCTGTCAACCTACAAATATTGGAAATGTTGGTGTAACTCGTCGGAAATCACGGCGTGTTTATCGTAAATCTGGACAGAGGATGGGTGACCATGTATATGTAGAGTGCTTTAAACCCAAGTGGCAGATTCCCCTCTCATACTGGGCCATTATTGATTTCTGCCACTATTTTCTGAGGCCTGATCCTAAAACCTTGGAGCCTATGTCTGGTGTGTTTTATACGAAAATGACTACTACTACAGCAAAATGACTATCATTGCATAAAGACGAGAAGGATATGGTTGTGGAGTTACGTGGTGATTTTTTTCATGAACAATCATTAATTAGTAAACAGTCGGGCTACTAATTCCTATAATTGTTGTGGTGAAAATGGCGATTTCATTGAATAGAATTTTTGTCATCATAATACTCTGAATATACGAACTACACTTACATTAAACAATTTGTTGCTAAACTAATAAAATTCTTGTATTGGAGTATAGCTCGGACAGGCTGTAACACCTTGAAGACAAAGTCTTGTGTTCCTTGTTCATGTAGTGATATCATTAATAGTAACTTCCATGATTGTGACGAATAAAACATATATAGGATTACCCGTATATGAAAAATTCTAATCATAATGGTTCGACTGAATATGAAAAAGCCATACATTTTTGGAGCTAGGCTGCGTTTGTGGTTGCTCAAAAAAGATTCCGAGAGAAAAGTTTGCTGAATTACGTAAAGCGTTTCAAGCCCTCTCTAGATCCGAACAAGATATGTTTTTAATGGCCCAGTTGAAAGCAATGAATGGCGGAGAAATAACTGCCAGCCGACGTTTAAAAAAGAAAATGCGTACTAATAAAAGAACTTTTTACTATTGAGATCGCAATACGTCACTTAGTCAGAAAACGTATCTCAATATGTTAGGAATTGGCCGCACTCACTTCGAAAACACTTGGCGACGAATGGTATAATACCACGTGTTCATGGTAATGTAAAAAGAAAGACCAAAATAACCATAAATAAGACGTTTGCTATAGCCGTGAAGAATTTTCTCGAGAATTATGCTGAAATTCATGGATTACCAAGTCCTGGTAGAAATGTCAATCGCATTACTCAATCGCTTATACTATTGTCAGCCAAAACGAGTTATAAATCGGTCTATCGTGATTTTATTGCAGGTCTTGAAAATGATAGCACACTGAAATTGTTAAAATATGACGCATTTCGCAAGCTATGACACCAATTAACACCTTACATTCAAATTATGAGTCCACGAACGGATTTATGTGACACGTGCCAACATTTTCGGAACGGCTACAGTATAATACTCTTAAGGAGGAAGAAGCAAAAGATTTACTGAAAAAATTCAAAGAACATCTGGTTAAGGCTAAATTGGAGAAAAATTATTACAATAAAAATACGAAACTAGCAGAACAACAGAGGAAATTGGTAAATGAGCATTTTATGACAAGAGGTAAAGCCAATTATTGTAGCGTTGATGCTACTGCTCATTACAATTACGATTGAGCGCAAAACGTTCACGTACCCCATTTTGATCAACAAGTAAGTAAAATTTATTATCTCAGTCCGCGTAAAGTGCATTTATTTGGTATACAAGATGAAGCAGTACGCGAACAAATTAATTACGTTCTTGATGAAAATAAAATTATCGGTAAAGGCCCTAATGGTACGTTGAGCATGGTACTCGATGGAATTAAGAGATTGAATAAAGGTGAAAATGTCTAAAGATTACTTGTGACAATGCGGGTGGTCAAAATAAAAACAATGCTACCATTTGATTTTATCTGTATTTAATAATTTGCAGTTATTATGAAAGTATCGAATTAAATTTTATGGTACCTGGACATACCAAATTCAAGTGTGATGGTAGTTTTGGATTGATTAAGAAACTATACCGCAAAACGACAGTAGATTGTGTGGATCATATTGTTGAGGTTGTGAAAAAATCGAGTACAGCAGGATTAAACAAGGCTCAACGCTATGACAACGGGCAAGGTTTTCAGTACTTAGGAATTTTCTTTAAAAAATTGAATGGTTTACAAAAATATCAGCATTTTTTCTTTGAAGCAACTTATCCAGGAGTCGTCAAAGTTCAGCTGGTTGCTAATGATTTGTATACTGGATTTAATTTATTGAAAACCAGAAAAGCAAGTGTTTCTGAAATTATCAAAGAAATTAATTTTTTTTTCTATTTTAGTGCTAACTCCATCTCCTTTGGATTAACCTTGTTTGGCACAATAGTCTGAGCATCTGCTGAATATCGGTGCACAAATTTGATGCAAATGTCTTTACCTATCTCATTTTTACCAAAGAAAATCAGTTTCTCCTTATATGGAAACTTTGGATTTCATTGAGTTTGCAGTAATTGAATGGGCAATTCACTCTTGTAATATATTTTCAGATTCAAAACAGCCTTCTTAAAGGCAGCAAAAGCATGTGCTGCTGTAATTCTCAAATATTTCTCATATGAATTCCAAGCAAGTGGCAGCATGGGAGTTAATGGGTCCATGTGAACTTTCTTTGGACAGGCTGACCCAGCAAAGCCGAAAGTTGAGCCTAAAAAATTTTATGTAAGCTTACTGTACAGTAACTGTTTGCACATATACAATCTACTCACCAGCATAATAGATGTGTAAACATGGAAAGACAAACTTTTGTTGTGTGATCATGAACCATATTTAAATAGTATATAGATGTTTGAAATAAGGGTCCTCCCCCTGAACCAAGCTCAACCTTAGCTTCTACATTAGCATAATAGTAATTGCCTGTTACTAGAGATCTGTCTGTTGTATAACCATCTTTAGTTTCACATGCAATGAAAGTAAGACTGCAGTAATCCATTAGAAGTTCACAGAACACCTTGTAAATAGCCGATTTTGCTATTTACTACGGAATTGTTTAATTGGTCAAAAATTCACTCCCATGTATTTTAGAGT